GTCTAATGAAAACAACTGTCCCTTAGTGAAAAATCTGCCAACAAAAGTTGCCACTGCTCCAACTGTTGATGTGAGCCAGTGCAGCCTCTAATGAGCGATTCATGGCTGATTTGCTAAGAATTTCATCTCTGAAATCTCTGTTTGGGTAAAGTCAATGCTGAAAACAAGAGAATTTTTGAGTTTTGTCCTGTCTCTAGTACTATATACTGGCTTTCAAGTGCTTGTCCACACGAATACATTATGTTAAGCATGTGCACGGTTAGAGACTTTTTAAGTGGAAATTAATTTCCTTGGGCCATGAGCATTTACAACTTCCCAGAAGGCAGCGAGATTGATTCTCCTCACACCTATAAATGTGTAAACCAGGAACAAAGGAAGGAAATCACTAAAACTGTTACCAGTTACATGGGCTAATGTGTTACCAATGTGTCAACCTTCAGTAAGCCAGGCTGTGAATCTCCAGCACTCATGTACAAAGAGTTTTGTAGCATGTGGCCACACTCTGGTCAGCCACCCCCTGCAAAGTAGGGTCAGTTCCATCACGTTTAATGATTACTAAAGGCTTATCTATCTGAATGAACTTGTGAGGCAGATGAGGTAAACTGCATTAAGCCCCATTGTGTTCAGAATTAAAGCAGCCTTAATTTAATTCAGCTTACTTTCCTTGCAAAAAAGAATGACTCCAAATCAGATTAAGGTTGCTTTTATACTGCAACAGAATGTCCATGCTGGGCTTTAAAGCAGTTTAACAAATCTACTTTAAATGCACACCTTTCATTAATTCAGATTAGCTCTCCTGAAGTCCCTGGTGGAGATAAGGCTTAAGAGACTCCACGCAGGAAATCTGCAAGGGTTTGCTAGGATGCTGTGAACTCACACCCTGGCTTACTGCAGCACTCTAACTTCTCGTGGAGCCAAGTAAATCCAGTGGTGGCCTCTGCTGGAGCTGCCACAGAGGATCTGAGCTCTTGGCAGTCTGGCAGCAACCTTCAGTTCTGTGAAGGAAGGGGGTACAGAGCCTTTTATTTCCACTCTCCCTCTAGCTCCTCTGCCTGCTCCCTAGTGCTGCACAGCTACGCAAGGCAGGACCAGATGGGGAATTCTGGCAGTGATACCAGCCTATGGGATTGCTGCCCACTGCCTCTCCGCTCTCGCCTCTGCACTGCAGTGCACTGCTGCCTAGCTCACGTGAGATCTGCTCCCTCAGCCCCTCCACGGAGAGGATGAAGAAAAAGCTGCGTGGGGGCAACTAGGAAGCACAGAGCAGCAGCTGGTAAAGGAGGCTCTGGTAGTGACTCCTTATGCTGGAATAACTGCCTTGCCTCATCCAACTACAGCCCAGCTAAGACGGCTGTATCTGCTCGTTTGTCTGTCCAGCATAACATGGGCATCCCTTCTGGGAGGTCCCTAATAAATGAATGAAGGTCTCTTGAATCTTTCAGAGATGCACTAAGTTGGCCATTGGCTCATTTCCAGGCCTTATCCACTGACATAAACAGTCCCAAAGAGCTCATGTGTGGCAAAAAAGAGACATATGCCAAAAGGGGGATAAGAAGAAAAGAAAAGAAGGAGAGAAAAGAAGGAAAGGAAAGAAGGTAAGGCAGGAAAAGGCAGGCAGGCAAGAAGGCAGGGATTTAGGGAGGGAGAAGAAAGGAAGGAAGGAATCAAGAAAGCAAGAACAGGCAGTTTGTGAAGTGCACCTTCAGGCCCACAAAGGCATTTCAGCACTCCTATGGAAAGGGAGTGAGAGCTTTTTCTGTTGTTGCTTTTTTGTGTCAAACTTGTTCAAAAACGCATGCCTATGCTACATGAGGTTAATTCCTGTACTACATATGCACTGAGATCCTTTGCAGTGAACTATACACAGATAAAGCAACATTCAGCCTCCCCAAATTATTCCAAGTCCTGATGATCCATCCTGGTCTCCTGACGAAGAATTGCTGCATGCAGCATTTTTCTCCTCACGTATGCAAGAATAATTGCCATTCTGCTCATTAAACTGAGGTGTGCATAGCCAAATGGGGCAGAAGTTAAGTTACCAAAGTAAGGCCTTATTGCCCAGATGCTATTTTCTGATCATCAGTCCCACAGCACTGACCTGATTATTGCTGTTTAGTTTAATCAGTTGGTTGTTTTATAAGCTGAGTGCAGCATTCAAGTCCACTGTGACAAGTGAAGTCGTATCCTAAAATTCAAGAGTTTGGGAGGATCAGGACCATCAGAATTTAATGGGGAGAGAGGTGTACAGAGGACAGGGGCATGAGCAGGGGACAGGAAAGAAGCTTTACAAGATCTGCCTAAAGGATGTAATGCCCTGTTTTATCTGATGCTTTGCCATTCTTGCAGGAGTTAGAGCTCCCTCAGTTCTTCATCACTTTCTCATCAATAAGATTCACAGAAGCCACACAGTGAAAAATAAAATCAAGTCTTTCTGGAGACCTGGCAGGTCAGGCTTGTGCGTAGCTGCAGAGTTAGGGTTGTTTTTTAACTGTAAGTGCCTTGACTTTAGATACATATACATACATGTGTGTTTGTGCATGTGTGTGACACATCCACAGACACACACATATATATTTATACAGATACATATATATCAGAAAGAAAGGGGAAGAAAGGGTCTGTACAGTGTGGAAGGAGAAGTGTTCAACAGCAGTTGTCCACATGCTGAGTAGCAGAATGAAGATTCTCAACTTTATCCATTTAAGAAATAGAGATTAGTGCCTATATAAGTTCAGATCAAAGTTTATCATCTTCCAGGGCCCAGCAGCCAAGGCTGGCATATTGCAGAAGATACCTTCTCCTAGTGTTGCTTCCTTCACCAGATGATGGTGAATGTAGAGTAAGGTTAGGGACCAGACAGAAGAATTTGACTCAAAAGAATCTGTGATGGAATTCAAGATCTGACAGATTGTTGAAAGGGGATGGAGAAAGCAGGGGTGGAAGGGCACTGGAAAATCTTTTCCACCTACTTAATGGGGAATCCAAGGGAAAGCAAAGCACAGCCCTGCAGTGTGGTTGCCTGACTGGGCGATGCCGCAGTTCATCCTGGTTCTTAGTTCCTCCTTCATCCTGCCATGCTGGGACAGGCTGCCAAAAAGCCATCTCAGGGAAAGGAAGGGCAGATGCAATGATGGTAGCAACGTTTCTATAAACCATCTAGAGGAACTTGGAAGTCTTGCAGAAACACAACTACAAGTTATTTGGCAGAAGCAAATGCTGAGCCCTGCAGCATCAGACTGGCTGGGGAAGGAAGGTATCCCATGGGTGCTGGTGGACTCTGCCAGCCTCTTCTGTGTCCCTCTCACTCATATTTGATCGTTCTTACTTTCTCTATCCCCCTTCTATGCTGTGCCAGGAGGCAGCACAGAACACTCCTGAGAGTGACTGGTGCCTTGTCCTTTCCTTCGCTATCTCTGATCCACTCAGTTCCTGGAGGCACTTTCAGCAATTTAGGGGATGTAAGATAAAGGCACTGCACAACTATCTAAATCAATCTGTTGAGTCTCTTCAGTGAGTTTTAGGGGAATACAAAAAAAAGTCTCAACTAATGTCTGCAAAAGAAACCAGCTGCTGCAATTTGGATGCATATAATAGATAAGTTTCGTTTACATTCTGAGAATGCACCAAAAAGCATGCATCTGCACCTTTCAGCTATAAAGGATACTAGGTTTTAGGTGTTGATATATATAACTTGACTTCTTAATTTTCCATATAGCTTTCCCTTTAAGGGATGGGATATGTTCCTTTCTGACAATGCCTGGACAAAAGCCAACACACTTCCCTGAGCAATGCAGGAAAACAATCAGGTTTCTCTAATCAGTTCATTCAGGTCCTCAAGTCTATCAAACACTTTTTTTATTTTCTTTTTATTGTTATTAGTATTACTGTTATTATTATTATTATTATTGAATTCATGCATTAATTCAAGTTACACCTTAATCAAATAGGCCATAATGCTGAATATTTGAACATGCTTTGATCTCCAAAAGTTATTGTTCCCATTTGACTAACATACGCACTTAAATACAGTACTTTAAATTACTAGTCAACGATTTAATAAATTAAGGAGTGCACTTCTGGTGAATGCAAATCAAAAAGAAAAGAAAACAAACAAAAAAAAAAAAACAGAGATAAAGGACCTATTTTTAGAAGATTCAGTTCAAACGAAAGCTTATCCGCTATTGTCTGAGGTAACGTTTCAGGCATGCGATTATAAAATAAATAGTATCAAATTCAAACATGCTTCTATTAAACTCCATTGTGCTATCTTGCAACAGAGGGGCTTAAAGTTTTGTATCCAGTTCTGGACGGGGAAAAGGAAAAGTGTGTTTAAAACCATCTGCACGTAAGAGGACTTAGCAGCATTGCAGATGTTTTGTCTTCGGTTTTGTTTGATATTTTCCTTTTAGGATAGTTCTTCTATGGACAACAAAAGAGGCCAGGCTTAAGTATGTTTTTAGGAAGGTGCTGTGTGGATCTGTAGGTTGGAAGTATGTAATCTTTCACATAAGGGCTGAAGGGAAATTTGCGCTCCTTCAGAAAAACCATGGCAAATGCTTGCTGCAGGTGGCTAATCCTTTTATTATTATTATCTGATGCACTTTCTTGCAACTGTGCAGTTTGCAGAATATTTTTACTGGAATCCATGCATATGCTTTATAGCTCTAAAAACTGTCTTGCTTAAGTTTTAAGTTAACTTCATCCAAAAAAAATAAAAGGGAGATGGGAGAGGAAAAGTTTAGGTCTAGCGTCATACAGCTTAAAACTAAACTAGTTCAAATGGTTCTCATTTACCAGGTGGAAAAAAGGTTTTTAAAAATAAACAAAAACTTATCTCTCATGGATCCTGGAAGCTTCTTTATCGCTGAGCAAAAATTCGCAATGCAACAATGCATTTACGAGGTAAATAAAGCATTCAAAGACTATCAGTAAAGCATCTACAAAGTGTGACCGTGTCACTAAAGTCTTCAAGCTGTGAGTGGGGATTTTGGTTATTTTGTTTACACATCAGTCAGCAGCTTGCTTTTATTAACGCAGTTTTGGTTGGCTACAGTGCAGTTGCCAGTTCTGAGATTAGCCTCTCTAAAATTGTCTATGCTATTATTCATATCCTCTTCGATTTCCATGTACTCAGATTTGCTGATTGTGGAGGAGCTGCGGCGACTGAGATCACTGTCAGATGCTAAATTAGGGGAGCTAACGTGAAGTAACTGAGCCTGCTCTTCCCCTTCTGTTTCTCGGTGGTAGAAGTAGTTGAAGTTGGACACGATGACAGGTACAGGCAGGGCAATTGTCAGCACACCAGCGATGGCACACAAGGAGCCCACGATTTTGCCTCCAATTGTCACAGGGTACATGTCACCATAGCCCACAGTGGTCATGGATACCACCGCCCACCAGAAAGCATCGGGGATACTTGTGAAATGAGACTCAGGTTCTTCAGCCTCAGCAAAATATACCGCACTAGAGAACAAGATCACCCCAATGAAGAGGAAGAAGATTAGTAAACCTAGCTCTCTCATACTTGCTTTGAGGGTCTGTCCCAAAATCTGGAGGCCCTTAGAGTGCCGGGAGAGTTTGAAGATTCGAAAGACTCTTACCAGTCTGATGACTCTCAGGATGGCCAAGGAGGTGGCCTGCTCTCCTTTCTGAGTCCCCTCCCGCTCGGCCATCTCGGTGCCCAGGGTGATGAAGTAAGGGATGATGGCCACTATGTCAATGAAGTTCATGATATTCTTGAAGAAGTCAGTCTTGCTGGGGCAAGCAAAGAAGCGCACCACCAGCTCAAAGGAGAACCAGATGATGCACAGGGTCTCCACAACAAAGAAGGGATCTGTGAAGATGTTGGATTTGTAGACCTGAGTGGTGTTGTCAGTGCGATGCACTGTATACTCCTTGTCCTCCTTCAGCTCAGGTAATGTCTCTAGGCAGAAGATCACGATGGAGATGAGGATCACCATGACAGAGACTATTGCAATGACCCTTGCAGGCCCAGAGCTCTCTGGGTATTCAAAGAGGAGCCATACTTGGCGCTGGTACTCCCCCTCCGGCAAGGGTCTCTCCTCATCTTTGATGAATCCTTCATCTTCCCGGAACTTCTCCATGGCCTCCTCACCCAGCTCATAAAATTTGATCTCCTCAGAGAACATGTCCAAGGGCACGTTGACCGGCCGGCGGAGCCGCCCCCCGGACTGGTAGTAGTAGAGGATGGCATCGAAGCTGGGCCGATTCCGGTCAAAGAAGTACTCGTTGCGCAAGGGGTCAAAGTACCGCATGCGCTTCTTGGGGTTGCCCAGCAGAGTGTTGGGGAACTGGGCCAAGGTCTTCAGCTGCGTCTCAAAGCGTAGTCCAGCGATGTTTATCACCACGCGCTCGCAGCACTCGTGGTCGTCGTGGGCGGCGGGCTGGTAGCTATCCTGGGGGTGCCCAGGTAGCGCAGAAGTCTCATCCATGTTCTCTCCAGCCATCACCGTCATGGTGGCACACGGGAAGGGGGACCCAGGGCAGGGGAGAAGTGAGGGAGAGGGACTTGAAACGGGGGAGAAGGATGGAGGAGAGCAGAGAGAGCCACAGGGCAGGTTGGGGGTGGGGGGGCAGTCTCAGGCTCTGCAGAGAGGGATGATGAGTGGGGATGGAGAGCTTGGGAGGTGATGGACAAGGAGCCTAAAGGTCGGAAATATTCCAGATGGGAAGGGAGAGGCGGGATGAAGGGAAAGGCATCAGGGATAACGGGAGGGTGAAGAGAGAGGGAAGAAGTACCTTTAGGAGGGAAAGA